CCTGCCTCATTAACATCATAGAGGTGAGGATTTGCAACACATAGGATAATCGCTTCAGATAACAAAATGGAGAACCACACAATACTGGGAATCATGGCCTAGCCAAGTTGACACATATTTTAGGGGGACACTATTCAATCTATGATAGAGACCTATGTGTGTCAGAGTAGAAATGCACTCCATAAGGATTTGAATGGCTGATTCTTCATAAGTAGATTGTCAAGCCTTTTTTCAGAGGCATCTCTGAGTGGCTTTGAACCACCAAACTTTCAGTTACTAGCCAAGCACTTAACTGTTTGCACCACCCAAGGACGTAGAAGGCTATTATCTTAGATACTTATATTAGAAACATGAACTAGGAATTAAATACACAAGAGATCCATATGAAGAGTAAATAATTAAAAGACTTTCCTGGTCTGTGTACACAATAAATGGATTACAATACCTGAAGTTTTCCCCATATTCTTTACATACATAAGGGTTTTTTCCAGTGTGTTTTCTTGTGTGTACAACAAGGCTTTCAGGGTGAATGAAGGCTTTCCAAAATGACTTGTATTCTTAAGGATTCTCTCCAGTGTGTTTTCTTAGATGTCCCTCAAGAGATATGAGACACTTATAGACTTTCCCGCACTGCTTACATTCATACGGTTTCTCACTAGAGTGCGTTCTCCTATGTAATCGTAAAGAGGTAGTCCATCTAAAGGATTTTCCACATTGTTTACATTCATAGGGTCTCTCGCTACTGTGCGTTATCATATGTTGTCGAAGGTTTGCGGGCATACTGTAGACTTTCCCACATTCCTTACATTCATAGGGTTTCTCTCGACTGTGCATGTTCACATGTTGTTGAAAGTATTTGGGACAACGGAAACCTTTTCCACATTGCTTACATTCATAAGGTTTGGGTTCACTGTGTGTTTTCCAATGTCTGTGAAGGGAGGAGTAAAAAGTGAAGGCTTTCCCACACTGCTTACATTTATAGGGTTTCTCTCCAGTGTGTGTTCTCTCATGTTCTTGAAGGGATGAGTAAAAACTGAAGGCTCTCCAGCAATACTTACATTCATAGGGTTTCTCTCCAGTGTGCATTCTCACATGTTCTCGAAAGTATGTGGGACAACTGAAGGCTTTCCCACATTCCTTGCATTCATAGGGTTTCTCTCCACGGTGCCGCCTTAAATGTACTTTAAGGGATGAAGAATACGAAAAGGTTTTCCCACATACTTCACATGCAGGGATTTTTTGTCCTCTGTGACCACTCACATGTTCCCTAAAGATGAGGAGCAAATGAATGATTAGTATGACTATATGTTTCCCATTCTCAGTGAATGGGGATGTTTTCTCCACCGTCTGATTGTTTCAAGTTAGAACAACCTGAATACTTGGCTAAGGGCTTGAGTAAAGCCATTGCTTTCACACTGTTTCTCACTATGGGGTTTCCTGACCATTGTTTCCAACTGAAGTTATGTTTCAGACCCTCAATATCTACATCACATTTATGCAAATATTATCATGTGAAAATCCTGAGTACACAATTGTTTAACAACATATATACTATTTCTTTAATTTCAAGATAGACTAACACTTGCTGGGATACTCCTTCCTCTTGTGTAAACACCACTCACCTTGAATGCTTCTTCTTGATTTGGGGCTGACCTTCATTGTGATGAAGTTTCCCTTTTTCTTCCAAATCAATCAAGGAATCATTTCTTATGAAACTTTTTATTTTCTCATCATTGGAGATTTCATTCCCAAAAATATCCTGCTGAAGACTTGATCCATTGGTTTTAACTTGAATACACCAATCTGCAAAAACTCATAACACAATATATATAATTTCTTGGGAAAACAGGAAAGAAAAACGACCATTTATGGATTTCTTTTCATATACTGATGTACAATGGTAAACAAATTTTATAAGGAATTATGAACAGGTGAGCAAAGACTGAGGATTTTGACAAAATTAAGGAAAATGGATCAAAATGGCAGCCTGTCCACAAAGAAACCAGTTGCTGCAGAGTCAACCCCATTGTGTCACAGTAAAACTGTGATCTATAGGGTTTTCAAGGGCTGATTTTTTGGAAGTAGATCACAGGCCATTCTTCAGAGGCACCTCTGGGCAGACTCAAACCTCCAATCTTAGCAGCCAAGCATGTTAATAGTTTGTGCTACCCAAGGATTCCATCTATGAAGAAATAGTTCCAAAGAGATGGAGACTGGTGTTGATACAAAGAGGGTATGATTGGAAAGGTAGGTAGGAATTGAGCAAAGTACACATGCTCACCTTTAAAAGAAGAAGTAGGAAAGTCTTTCCCTGAGAAGAAGGAAAATGTGAGGATGGATGAAAAGTGAAAGAAGGAAGACAGATAAACTACAAAGTACTTTCTAGTAGACGCCTTTGGGAACACTCATCCCGAAAATTAACTTCATCCTTCTCAAAGACTAACTATTTTTCTAATTGAGATTTCCAAATATAATCCTGTTAATAAAAATCCTCTTCATCCCTAAGGTTCTTGCCTTCTTGGTGTTCATAAGCTCAGATGTCCTAGATGAGTCCTTCCTCCACTGTCCCCAGGTCCCATCAGGGGATCACATGGGAATGTGTGGCTGACACTCTGTTAATGGACCAAAGCTCATGATCAAGGAGGACTATGAAGGGCAACAAATATTTGCATGAGATGGACAAATACTTTGGACTTCATGGTAGCTGAAGATGGATAAGAGTACGTTCAACTGCAGCAGAACTACTGTTAAATGTATATTCTTCAAAGTATAACTCTCACAGGGGTGAAAACCACAAAGCTTCTCTCTGTGCACCATAGGATACTACGCCCAAACTTATAAACTTAAGGAGCCTTGAGATTGTAACCAAGAGAAATAAAAAGTCAGTTTAATGCAAAAAACTCTGTTTTCATGGAAAAGCTCTCTGACCTCAAGTTCCAAGAGGTCTGGGACTGTGTCTGTCTTTTATCTAACACATTTCCATTCCTCAGCCCAAGTAAAAAGAAAGGACAATGTGGGAGATATATTTGTTCTACAAAAGACTAAGTGAAGGAGTGATGCCATCCTTACCTACTGAGGCCAAGTTCCAGAAGGTTTCCAGCATCACATCTTTGTAGAGGTTCCTCTGAGCAGCATTCAGTAAAGCCCACTCTTCCCGGGTGAAGTTCACAGCCACGTCCTCTAAGACCACCGAGTCCTAAAAGAGCCCACATATTGTTTCAACAAGGCACCATCTCCCGGTGTGTGCAGGAGCGTGGGAAGGTTGCTGGCCTGGGGTAGTGGGCTCAATTCACAGAATTCCTGAATCACAGGGATCTGGCATTCTTGTGGGAGATACTAATCATTAATGCAATAAAATACAATATACTCAGTGATGGTAAGTGCTTTCAAAATATGTGAGACAACAACGACTGATATATACTTATACTCATGTTATTAAAAATCATTATTTTTAGTGATATTGGGCAGATTCTGGGGCAGAGTAAAGACTGACAAAATCACGATTCAGAATATACTAGAAATAGACACTCAGTTTGCTAAGATTTTTTTATCAGATACAAAGAACTGGAACCAGAATGTTTGGGTATTGCAAACACTTAGGGTACATTTCCAATGCTGCTTGATTTCAACGAGTCCTATGTGGAGGCAGTAGAGTCATGGGGCCTGGTCTGATCCCCTCAGATCCAGCAAAGGCAGAGACACAGTCTCCTCCTAGGACGATGGGGACACTGTAGGCAGAGAGAGAGGCCAGGGCCCTGGGACCCAGCAACACTTGTCAGGTATGAGGAATACTTGGTTCCTGCAGAATTTGCCAGGCCAGCAGGGCCTCTCAAATGAACCGAGCGCCAGAATCAGAGGAAAGTGGTACCAAAAAGAGAGTCATGGAAGGGTCTGATCTTAATGAAGACCAAGGTGATGTCAATAGGGAGAAAAAAACCTACCTAGTTAACACCTTTAGAGCAATAGGAGACAACACCACACCATGAAATGAAGAGCAGTTATGAAAAAAATTACAGATCGTAAAAACAAAAAATATGATTCAAGAAATTTAATGAAAAAAAATCCCACCTATATCAGCCACCAAGAAGGGACTGATACTTCAACTGGAGTTAGGCAGCAGGGAAATTGAGTCAACTCCATAAGGTGAAAAGATAACAATATGACCCTAAAGAAATTAAAAGGAAGGGCTTAAAAAACAGAAAAGCAGGAGATAGAGACAATAAACCTGGAAAACCCATGATGGTAAATAGGTAACCTACTGTATTGCATCAATTGGAAGATATGCATGTTTTCACTTTTAACTATTCTGGAAATTGGAACTCGCCTTACACTCAATGAGACCACAGCACTGTGTCATAGATTGCTGTGAGTTTCTTTTTCTAATTTTCACTTGTGCATGAAATAAATAGCACATTTCATATCCAGTGACACATGGTGTCAATGGAGTCTACACAGTGATATGGCTGTTACCGCATAACTAATATTTTATAGCTTTACTGAAGCTGATAAACGTAAAGAAAATTGAAGGGAACGGACATGACAACTTGAATATTCCGAATAAATCAATTTTCCTTCAATTTATCTATCTTTGCAATTCAATCACATTAGAAATCAAAAAAGCATATTATAATTGCCTACCTGGCTCTACGGTCCCTGGTTGGTGGAAATAGTCTGTGCTCATGTAACCTGAAGGCTGGTGGTTCAAACCCAGCAACACTGCAGAAGTCCTGGCAATCTGCTTCTATAAAGATTACAGCTAAGAAAACCCTATGGAGCAGTTGTATTCTGTAATATATGGCGTCGCCATGAGTCAGAAATGGCTCAATAGCAATGGGTTTGGACCTGGTTCTAAACTGTATATCGCTGAACCTCTTAAAAAATGGCATTGTTCAAGTAGGGATGCGTATTAACCTTTCTAGGATAATCAATTTAATAAGTGGCAATGAAGATAATATTTAGAGTTAAGTAGAAAAAAAAAAAAGAGAAACGGGTATAGTGCCTCAATCATCTTAAAGACAGCAAGAGAGCACAGAATCAAAAAGAAAATATAACACAAATACAAGACTCAAAGGCAAAAATGCTGGAAAATTAAAAATATATCAATAATAACAGTAATGCAAATGGACTGAATATTTCAGTCTAAAAGAAAAGATGAGCATACTGGATAAAAAAATGACACAGAGCAATGTGTGTTACCAAAAACAACACAGAAAGACTGAAGGCCAAGGAGGAATACCATATCAAAGGTGAGTGCAAATTTTAGAATTCATCTAAGTTGTATCAGGTGCTCAAGTTTTAAAACCAAAAGTGTTACTAGAGATAAAGACAGTCATGATACTAAAATAGCAGTTTCATACACACAGGAAAATATGATGATTCCAAAATTATACTCATCTAAGTAACAAATTATTAATGTATGGGGTACATAACATAACCACAAAGAGAAATAAAAAATCTGCCTTCATATTAGTGTATTTCAGAACAATCTCTTCATTATTAATAGATCATGAGTAAATAAAAACGCTGATACATAATATATTTGAATAGAACAATTAACAAGCTTAAACTAACAAGTATACAGGGACACTTATCAATACCAAAATGGTCAATTTTTTCAATCACACCTTAAAAATTATGAGCATAGATTGTACTGTGCCATAAAGTTAGGCCCAAATACTTAGAATACTGGTCTTCCATGTTTTATTGTCTCTAACCACAATGCAATTAAAAGGATGTTAAAAACAACAATCTAAGAGAAAAAAAAATCACGTATAAATTTCAAAAATTTTATACATTTATTTAAATAAAGTTTAAAACAAAGAAAAAAAGTCAAGGTCATATGAGAAAATAAGAGTGATTTCATTGTTCTGACATAAGTATCAAAACTTGTGTGTAGGGGCTAAAGTGGTCAATATTCCCAGATTCCATATTTGTGAATTCACTTATGAAAAAATATTCCAGAAAGCCACAATTATGTCAAAATTAAAGAAAACACTCCTAAATAACCAATGGATCCAAGAAGAAACCACAAGGGAAATTAGAAAATATTTTGAGAGAAATAAAAACAAAAACATAAAACTTCTGAGATATATCTAAAGCATTAAGCAGTTCTGAAAGATACATTTATAACTAAGACACCTATATTAAAAATGGAAAAGATCTCAAATCAATAATCAATTTTAATCTCAGATCAAAATCAATTAATGGAAAAGATCCCAAATCAAAGCTGGTCACTTTGAGAAACTAGAAAATGATCAAACAAAAATTAAACCAAGCAAAAGGAAGGAAATAAAGATTAGGGTACATAGAAGTGAAACTGAAAATAGAGAAAGTGAGAAAACTCAAGAAAACTATAAGTTGGTTATTTAAAGAGATCAAAAAAATTGACAAATCTTTAGTTACGCTGACTAAGGAAAAAAGAGAGGAGGCAATTTTCTAAAATCAAGAAGAGCAACATCACTATCAATCTTACAGAAATAAACGGATCATATGAGAATACTACAAATAAATGTACGTCAACAAATTACTCAGATGAAATGGAAAAATTCTTTGTTGTTGTTAGGTGCTGTGGAGTCGGTTCTGACTCATAGCGACAACAGAACGCAACACTGCCTGGTCCTGTGCCATCTTCACAATTGTTGTTATGCTTGAGCCCACTGTTGCAGCCACTGTGTCAATCCATCTTGATGAGGGTCTTCCTCTTTTTTGCTGACCCTCTACTTTACCAAGCATGATGTCTTTCTCCAGGGACTGATCCCTTCTGATTACACATCCAAAGTATGTGAGATGTAGTCTCGCCATCTTTGCTTCTAAGGAGCATTCTGGTTGTACTTCTTCCGAGACAGATTTGTTCATTCTTCTGACAGTCCATGGTATGTTCAATATTCTTCTCCGATACCACAATTCAAAGGCATCAATTCTTCTTCGGTCTTCCTTATTCTTTGTCCAGCTTTTGCATGTATATGACACGATTGAAAACACCATGGCTTGGGTCAGGCATGCCTTGGTCTTCAAGGTGACATCGTTGCTTTTCAACACTTTAAAGAGATCTTTTAGGTTGTGTCTTAAGTAAATCTTTTTTGAGATATAAAAGAGAGAAGTGAGCAGAGAGATAAGGGACCTCATACCACCAAGAGACCGGCATGGATAGCAGAGTGCATCCTTTGGACCCAAGATTCCTGCACTGAGAAGCTCCTAGTCCACGGGAAGATTGATGACAAGGACCTTATTCCAGAGCCAACACAGAAAGAACACCTTCCCCTGGAGCTGGTAACCTGAATTCAGACTTGTAGCCTCCTAGACTGTGAGAGACTAAATTTCTTTTTGTTAAAGCCATCCAAAGAGATGGTATTTCTGTTACAGCAGCACTAGGTAACTACGACAAACATCATAATTCAAAGGTGTCAATTCTTCTTCGGTCTTATTTATTCATTGCCCAGCTTTCACAAGCATATGAGGTGACTGAAAATACCATGGCTTGGGTCTGGCAGACCTTAGTCCACAAAGTGCCATTCTTGCTTTTCAACACTTTAAAGAGGTCTTTTGCAGCTGATTTGCCCAATGCAAGACATCGTTTGATTTCTTGACCACTGCTTCCACAGGCGCTGATTGTGGATCCAAGTAAAATGAAATCCTTGACAACTTCAATCTTTTCTCTGTTTGTCATGATGTTGCTTACTGGTCCAGTTGTGACGATTTTTGTTTTCTTTATGTTGAGGTGTAATCCACACTGAAGGTTGTAGTCTTTGATATTCATCATTAACTGCTTCAAGTTCCTCTTCAGTTTCAGCAAGCAAGGTCACATCATCTGCGTAACACAAGTTGTTAATGCGTCTTCCTCCAATCTTGATGCCTGTTCTTCATATAGTCCAGCTTCTCAGTAAGCTTTGCACTTTTTTACATTAACTGAAATTTGATGCAAATTGATAATAAATTAATTATCAGCATACAGATTGAGTAAGGACGGTGAAAGGATACGACTCTGATGCACACCTTTCCTGACTTTAAACCATGCAGTATCCCCTTGTTTGGTCTGAATGACTGCCTCTTGGTCTATGTACAGGTTCCTCATGAGCACAATTAACTGTTCTGGAATTCCCATTCTTCACAATATTATCCATAATTTGTTATGATCCACACAGTCAAATTCGTATGCATAGTCAATAAAATACAGGTAAATATCTTTCTGGTATTCTCTGCTTTCAGCCAAGGTCCATCTGACATCAGTAATGATATCTCTCATTCCACATCCTTTTCTGAATCTGGCTTGAACTTCTGGCAGTTCCATGTCGATATACTGCTGCAAACACTTTTGAATGATCTTCAGCAAAATTTTACTTGTGTGTGAAATTAATGATATTGTTTGATAATTTCTGCATTTTTGTATCACCTTTCTTTGGAATGAGCACAAATATAGATCTCTTCCAGTTGGTTAGCCAGGAAGCTGTCTTCCAAATACTTTGACATAGATGAGTGAGCACCTCCAGCACTGCATCCGTTTGTTGAAACATCTCAGTTCTTAGTGAGACACAATTACTGAACTGACTGAAGAAGAAATGGAATATCTATAGATGTAAAACAAACACAGCAATTGAACTGGCAATAATGAAGATTCCCATAAGGAAACCCAGGCTAAGAATGGTTTTAATGGTGAATTCTACCAACCTTTTAAAGAAGCATTAACACCAATCCTTCACAAAATCTTTCAGAAAATAAGAGAAAAGAATACTACCAAACTCTTTCGATGAGGCCAGTATTATCCTGATACCAAAACCAAACATAGTACAAGAGAGATTAGAGACCACTATTCCTTATGAATACAGATGCAAAAATCCTCAATAAGTGCTAGCAAACTGCATTTAGCAATATGTAAAATGGATTATACAGCATGAGCAAGTGGGATTTACCCCAGCAATATAAGGTTGGTTTAATATCTGAAAATCAATTACTGTAATACACTATATTAATAGAATGAAGGATAAAAACAACATGATCACTTAAGCAGATATAAAAAAAAATTTTTAACTCACACAATGGAATACTACTCAGCCATAAAGAGAAATGAAGTCCTCATGAATGCCACAACATGGATGAACCTAGAAAACATGCCGAACGAAATTAGTCAGTCAAAAAAGGATAAATAGTGTATGATCTCACTTATATAAAATAAGCAAATATATAGAAACCAAAGATAATTAGTGGTTACTAGGGATAAAGAATGAACACATCTGTCTTGGAAGAAATACAGCGAGAATGCTCCTTACAAGTGACGATGCTGAGACTACATCTCACACACTTTGGACATGTTATCAGGAGGCTCCAGTCCCTGAAGAAGGACATCATGCTTGGTAAAGTAGAGGGTCAGCAAGAAAGAGGAAGACCCTCAATGACATTGATTGACACAGTGGCTGCAAAAATGGGCTCAAACATAGCAATGATTGTGAGGATGGTGCAGGACCAGACAGTGTTTCGTTCTGTTGTACATAGGGTCACTATGAGTAGGAATTGACTAGGTGGCACCTAACAACAATGGGGATCGTATAGAGGGAGAAAGGAGAGTTTTTACTTAGGGGGATTGAGTTTATTTTAATGGTAGTAGAATGATTTGGAACAGAATAGTGAGCATGGCTCCACAACTTGAAGAGTGTAATCAATGTCACTGAATTAAACATGTACAAACAGTTGAAATGGCATATTTTTGTTATGTATATTTTCATCACAATTAAAAAAAAGAAAATTAGTCATTTAACAAAATCCAATGACCTTTGATAACACTCAACGGCACAGGAATAGAACGGAATTTTCTCAACCTGATAAAGGACATCTACAAAAAATCTACAGCTAAGATCATACTTAATAGTGAAAGGCTGAATGCTTTCCTCTAAGATGAGGAATAAGACGTAGATCTCCAATCTCAATCTCACCACTTCTAAACCTCATTGTACTCGATGTTCTAGTTGGGGCAACTAGGCAAGAAAAAACATAAATAAACAGCATCATGATTAGAAAGGCAGAAGTAAAACTGTCTCTATTCCCAGATGGTTTTATATATAGAAAAACCCAGGAATTCACCAAAAACTTTTATAATAATAAAGGAATTCACCAAGGTTGCAGGATACAAGGTCAATATATGAAAATGAAACGTGACAGCTGGATATCCACGTGTAAAAGAATGACACTGGGCCTTTATCTCAAACCAAATGCAAAAATCAATTCAAAATAGGTCATAGACATAAGAGCTAAAATTATAAAACTATTAGAAGAAAACTTAGAAGTATATCTTGTTACTTTGAGTTAAGCAATGGTTTATTCAATATGACACCAAAACCACAAGAGATAAAAGAAAAAAATTTATAAATTGGGCTTCATCAAAATTTAAAACTATTGTGCTTCAAAGGATACCATTACAAAAGCAAAAAGACAATATTCAGAATGAAAAAAAAAATTGCAAATCACTAACCTGATAAGCAATTTGTATTCTAATTATGTCTTTATGTCACTTGACAATTAAAAATTAAAGATGACAATATCGACAAATGATGCAATGAAACAAGGGACAAATGATTGGAAGACATTTCTCAAAGGAAGATATACAAATGGCCAAGATGCACAGGAAAAGATGATTACCATCTTTACTCACTAGGCATCAATACAGAGAATTCAACTGTGGAGAGAACATTTCCCAACCATTCTATGAAGCCAACATTACCCTGATACCAAAATTAGAGGAAAAAAAACTACATATGAAGAAACTGACACTATTGAAACTAATTGTTACCACAACTAATATTAAGTCCTACATTTTCCCTAATAAAGCATATGAAAAGATGATAAAAAAAGTATAAAACGTTACTGGCATCAATGAAGAATGAAACAAATGGAAAGACAGTACATGTTCTTAGAAAGGTGACTCACTGTCACCATGATGTCACCTCTCCCAGGTAGATCTGGAGTTTTAATAAAATTCCATTAAACCTACAACCAGATTTGCTTTTGGGGTTTATTTGTATTTTCGGTTTTGACTGAACTTAAGAAAACCTACTTTTAAAAACTGAAATGGAAGACGGCTCTGGGGACCATGGTCTCAGGGAGCATCTAGCTCAATTGGCATGACACTAGTTATAAAGATAATGCTCTACATTCTACCTTGGTGAGTAGTGTCTGGGGTCTTAAAAGCCTGTGAGCGGCCATCTAAGATACTCC